TTTCCCTATAAATCCCTATGTAAAACTTGGGTCGGCCATTTTGGCCCCACCCTAGCCCCGGGGGTCATGATTTGTATAAACTTGAATCTACACTACCTGAGGATGATTCCACATGAGTTTCATCTTTCCTGGCCCAGTGGTTCTTGAGAAGAAGATTTTTAAAGATTTTTCCTATATATTCCTATGTAAAACTTTGGTCGGCCATTTTGGCCCCACCCTAGCCCCGGGGGTCATGATTTGAACAAATTTGAATTACAACATAAAAGTTTATCTTTCCTGGCCCACTTGAGAAGAAGATTTTTAAAGCATATAAGAAAGCACGGGGGTCCTCCAAAATCACATGAACATTTAAGAAGATTTTTAAAGATTTTTTATATATTCCTTTGTAAAACTTTGATGCTACTTTAAATTATATATTAATATCTGAGAAGAAGATTTTTAAAGATTTTTCCTATATATCTATGTGAAAATTTTGGAATTAAAAAATGCTCCACATGAGTTTATCTTTCCTGGCCCAGTGGTTCTTGAGAAGAAGATTTTTTAAAAATGCCATTAATTTTTCTCTAATTCATAATTATCCCCTTGGAAAAATGCATCCCCTTTACCCAAGGATGCTTTGTGGCAATTAATCCTTGAGAAGAAGTTGAAAATGTGAAAATTCAGGGCAAATCAAGCTTGAGCTAAAAATGTGTAGGATATATCAATGAATTAAGAGCAGTGTCCTTAGAATGTTCTTTGGAAGATGTAAGTCAATTAAAGCCTCCGAAAGGCTTAGGATTACTGTAAACCAACTTTTATTCGCGACAACTTTTTTTCGCGATTTACCGGGTGTAAACTAGTTCGCGATGATTAATTTTCGTGATGACAAGCCGTTTTTGGAACTGTTTTAATAGAAAAAGAGACTTTAAGGACCTGTTCACGGCGAGAAATATTCGCGATGACGAGGCTCACGCGAACCTTGCGAAAATTTCTCGCATGCGAATAAAAGTTGGTTTACAGTATGTCACTAGGGCAAACATCCTTAAAATTCTAAGGGAAAATGTACCCTGGATGTATAAATAAGGAGCTGTGAAATTAGCCTTGTTGCTGCTGACAGAGCATGTTTGCCCAATGAATAACATACTACTAAGAGGGGGAAAGGTTGTGGCTTGGATGTGGAGTGGAGGGAGGGAAAAAAAATTAGAAATTTCTACTGGTTGAAAAATGACATCATCATGAACACAATAACAGATATCAATTTCAGCATCTCAAATGCAGAAAGGAATGCCAGAGGCCCTCTCGGGTTTAATACTGCAATTCTACTTTTTCAAAACCACGAAGCTATATTTTTAAAAAATTTTACACACACCCCTCCCAAAAAATTACAAAATTAAACAAAGAGTATCTCGGATCACTTTCACAATATTATAAAAATCATCATGCAATTATGAAAAGACAGTCCTAGTATATTAAAGCCAAGAAGTACTTTATACAAAACACCTACTTGTTTATATGGTGATGGTGAAAAACTTTAACTCAAAGTTGGGTATCTATTATTTTCAGTTTTTTAAATGTCATTCCCATAACAATTATTTCAACCATCAAAATAAATGGCTGACTAAATATCTAAAGTCAAATATGTTGTTTTATTTTTACTATTAATGTTTTGCTTTTGATCACAAAAATTACTGAATAACAATTTGAAATGTGCAATTTCCTTTCATTATCCTTCTCATTTTGGCATAAACAAACTGCAATCAAATGTCAAGTGTTGAATTTATGTAATAATATCGTATGATACTCAAGCAAGCACAAACATGGCTGTTCCTGTATGAATGTTAAATTTTCAATCATTTTTTCATATTCAATAATTGATCTTTAGCTAAGTTTTAACTAAAATTCCATTTGACTTACAAAGCTACAGTTCTCAATATCATTTCTTAAATTTATATGAAATAATAATTTCATGCTCTTCAACTTTCTTTCACTAACACTGTGAATAATACGCTTCTAAAAATATTAAACAAAATATATTTATTTTTTACTTTACATAGCGTACAGTATGCTATTGATGTAGATTTTATAATATTTATATCATTTTATTCATTATTTTCTTTAATGACATGTAATAGTTCGAAAAAATTATTTTTAAAAACTTGTTTATTTAATTTTAGAAATTCAAGATAAAAATTCAGATATTTATATATTCTTATGAAGCAACACATCTTCGTAATAGAATTAACAGAAATATACAATAAAACTTCAAAAAACGATAAAACTTCAAAAAACAAGCTTTATAAATCATAAATGGTGTCGTTTGATGGACAGAGAAAATTTAAGTACTATGTAAATTTGAAGGATTTGAATTGATTTAATACAAACAAAATCAAAAGCGCAATAATAAAATAAATAAATATTCTCTCCTACTTCCTGCTTTACAACTTCTTTAATTTTTATAGAGTGACGTACTTATCACATTTTATCCTGCAATCATATTTTGTAACTTGACAGGTTTATAAACAAAGAACCTCAGAATATTAATCATACAGACTCACAATACCTAAATATAACTTGTCCATCTATTTATGGTATTCGCGATATTTTCAGAATCCCGTTTAAATCGTGTAAAATTAAAGTTTTTACATAAATGTCATGTTTTCTGGTTTTAATGGTATATGTCCTATTAGAAAGGCTTCATGTAGTTCAAATTTTTGTTGAAATTCTATTCTTTAATTAACTCTATTTATGTTAAAAATAAAACTCAGTTTGCCCTTATTTTAAATTTTCTCTTCACAACAAATTTACATAATATTAGTTGGCTTGCCACCTTATTCCTTCATAAATAATTAAGATACAGTCAAGATAACTACACTTTTTAAATACTGTAAACCAACTATTATTTGCGTCATTTTTTATCTACGATTCGTCAGTCAATCCTTGACATTTAATTTTCGCAACTGAAAAAACATTCTCTACAAAAACAAAGCAAAATAATAATTAAAGAATTTCAGAGTAAAAAAAAAAATAGTTAAGGACTTTAGAATAATCATAAAGTGGCACATATTTTACAGTTGATAATTTCATTGTCAGTTAATTGGCTATTGTCTGGATGATAAACATCCAAAGTTCAGCATCAGCCACTAATGGTGTCAAACATAATTGTAGACAGGGGCAGAAGTTATCAATCATAAGCACCAGTTCTTTATGTTTCACTCTTTATCACAACCATTCCTTTTTTCTTCAGTTTGACAATTGATCATTTTGCGGACTTAAAAAGTGCTTTTAACACCATCAAACGACTTGCTTTTAACATAGCAAGCATCTTCATGTTCCACCACTGACCTTGGGAAATTCAAGGGTAAAAATCAATTGCATTTTCTGATAAAGATATTTGATCTCCTTACTTTTGTTTTTCGACCAAATGATGGTTCCTAGCCCTCATCACATAGTTTGCTACTCATCCCTTTTAATGGAAATTCAATAATGTAATATTCTTTCCTTAGAAGGAAAGTGATGACATCATTTCAGCTCCCTCTTTATAGAGCTACTTCAATCTTAATCAATTACACTCCAGATTTATGAGAAAACAATCAAATCAAAACCCTGTGAAACTTTAATGATATATGTTACAAATCTTAATTTGCCAGTCAAAAGGAAAATTAAGGGAAAAGAGACACTGGTTATATTAAATTGTAAATCACTACACAAAATATGAAGAAAAAGACACTGGTTATATTAAATTGTAAATCACTACACAAAATATGAAGAAAAAGACACTGGTTATATTAAATTGTAAATCACTACACAAAATATGAAGAAAAGGAATAATGATCAAGCTCGAAAGTACAAATTGGGAGCAAAAAAACATGGACCACTAAAAACATCAGAGATGGAATCAGGTGCCATGGAGGAATAAACATCCCCTGTTGACAGGCCATACCCTCTGTGTGCTCCTGTCATGATCAAACAACAGAAAAATATATCATTTGAGTCTTAAACTGAGAGGATTTCCATGTCCATTGTTTATATTTAGCACAGATCTAGTTATTAATCATGGTGATGTGTCCAGACCAATTCTATATCTAGCATTCTACATAGCCATCAATTATAAACATATCTTCATTTCCACAAACCAAATATAGAAAAAGACCTTATTTCCACAAACCTTATATAGAATTTGAGGTTCAAAGATATTACCGGTATACAGATAAATGATTATAACTATTCATACCAGACTAAAAGTACTTTTTTCACAATTTCCCTAATGTCTGCTGTCTAATTTGAAATATTACTTGTAGCTGCCTCAGTAAATTGAAGGTTATTATCATTGGAGGGACTGTAGCTCTATGGTATATCTGTAAGAAGTCTACTGTAGAAACACAAATTTTCGTGGGGATCAAATTTTGTCAATTTGTTATCTAAAATGGTTTCATGGGCATTAAATTTTGTCCTTTTGAAAGTAACATTATTCAATATATAGTAATGTGAAAATTTCGTGTGGGATTTAATTTTGTTGATAACAGTGTAAACACTAAACAGCAAAATAAATGAAATTTAATCCACGACGAAATTTTCTGCTTTTACAGTATCCCTTGGAGTGTAACAACTCTCATGTTAAGTTTACAGTAAAAATACATACTCATCATTATATGGCAGATAAAAGTATGTCAATCATGTAAAGGCTGTCTACAACAAAAACTCAATTCATACAGAATTTCTTCCAAAATTGTATCCACTATTCCCTTTCTGTCCATATTGCATGAGAATGAAAATTACACATTATGATAATTTTAATCTAACTCCCCCATTATATGATAAGCATCAGTTCACATCTGCACCCCTAGTCTTTTTAACTTACATAGTCTGAAATCACAAATATCACATTATATTGATGTTCAAAGCCCATGACAAAAAAAAAAGTGATTGCATATGTAGATTTAAAAAGAACTGTGCCTTTCACGCACGCAACAACACAAAAATAAAAATGGATTTTCCAATTACAGCCTGTTTATAAATTTTAGGATTGGAGTACGTTTCCCACGTATGATCTTGGACACAAAAAGAAGATAATTTATCGTGGATGGATGCAGGTCTGAGCTCCTCCTACTGCACAGAATGAACACAATGGATTCAATGACTCAGGTACATATCTATTTTTTTTTCCTTTACCTTTAAAGGCATTAATGTAATATATCCAATGTTCAGTATTTCTGAAAATCAGGGAACTTGGGTTATAGGAGATGACTGAAGGTATGTGAACTGCAGCACTTTTAAGTTATATTCTCATGACTTCTTCAAATTCCATTTTCTTAAATTTTCAAATCAAATTTGAAGAAAGTTTGGTACTGTTATAAATTTTCTATTGGATTTTAATCTTTGAATTCAACTCACTTTTTCAACTCACTTTTTCGGACAACTCTCTAAAATACATTCTGTTAAATTTTCGACATGATATGTTCTACAAATATTTATATGGGTTGTTATCATTTTTAATATTCAAAGGAACAAATGTCACAAATTTGCAATCTTCAGGCAGTTCAACTATACATTAAGGACTTTTCTATGGATCCTTGTATCTTTGAATTCATCTCACTTTCTCGGACATCTCTAAATATATTTTTATTATAAGCATTATAATATGTTCTACAAAATCTGCATGCGGGTTTTTATTATCTCCCCCCCCCCACCACCACGGCGCGGGAAAAAATAAAAACAGAGTAGCTATAGATTTTTAAAAGCTAAAATATATGGCTTAATGAAGATTCATATTTCACTTTGATAGAGAAATTAAATCTTTCCAATCTTTTAAAATCTTTTCCAAAATCTTTTACAATCTGTTATGTAGTTTCTCCTTGAATTTTATCTCATATATTTACATATATTTACAATATTTTAATATCCGGAGCATCAAGATCAATAATTTTTGTAGAAATACATGCACGTAACAGAATTTTTTCTAATCAATTATATAAGCTCAACTTTCAGCAGGATGGAATTTAGTCCAACAAGTGCATGTAATTCTCCATTATTACAAATAAGTTATATCAAAATTCACTCTTTCAAATATGTATCACTGGTAATCATCAAAAATTTTATAGCCAAGGATATTAACTGCCGTTTACAAACAATCATTTCTATTTGTTTAGACGTGAGTGCACGTTTAGTACACGTATGAAACACGTCTCTTAAAAATGTATGTGTCTCAATCGTTTTATCTAGTCTACCATGTGTTTTCAGTTTCTCTAGCTCTCATTCAAGCAGAAATTGAAAAAATAATAAATCATGGATATAAAAAAAATTTGAGTGAAATTGAAGTTATTAATTAACACTAAACAATAAATGTACAAATCATTGTTAATATGTAATAAGCATTGCATAAATTGAACTAGATTTCATGCCTGACTGATTTAAGATTAGTAATATTATTAACATGTAGACACCTTAAAATGAAAGATAAAAAAGTCCAACAAATAAATCTATGTCAAATTAAAAACATAACCATGCTAATTGTTTCCCCATATACCTATTATTTCTTTGAATTTCACTGATCAAATATATTCAAATCTGGCAATTGCATTTAAAATTTAAATTAGAGACGTGCATTAATCCAAATCAATTTGCTTATTAAATCAATGATAAATCAATAATGAAAAAAATGTCTTTCATATAATTATTATAAAAATAGCATATTAATTAAGGACAGAAATGATGACAAAACTTTTATCAAAAATCAGAGAAAAAATAGCAACCTAGTTAAGTTATCTTAATATAGTAAAATGAATAAGTTTAATGATGCACAATTTTTAATTTTTCATTCAAAATTTCACAATTTCACAATGGAATTTTTAAGGATAAATAACACAAACAAACTTTTTTCAGAAATCAGCATACTTTCTAAACAAAATAGATTTACATTTAAATTGACAACCTGAATAATGTTTACCAATTGCAAGTAGATTGAGAGAATTTTATAAGATTTTGTCATAAAGATAAAAAATTGTGCAAAATTTAGTATGGAATTATATACAAAAGGCAAAATAAAATCTCAAATCTAAGCATCAAGGAAAACCTACGATTTGGGATGTTATATTTCAGGGATTTATTATTTATGTAAATTTTATAAATCAAAATGCATGTTTCAAAATTTAAAATATATATCAACCCACACATTCATTTTTTGTCTTGTGGTAAGTACCTGGATGAAAACAATTATGTGACAAAAAATGGTTGTAAATGATAAGCCTAATAAATTTCAAAAATAAAAAAAGAATTTGTAAACTTTCAAATGGTTGTAAATGATGAGCCTAATAAATTTCTAAAATATTTAGAATTTGCATACATGTTAACCTATTGTGATGAAAAATAGGGATGCTTACTTCTTCTAGGCAACGGATCCCACCTCTTGAAAGCGGTAGCTTTGCGCGCGTTGTTTTACACTTGGATTTATACAAGATATATTGCATGTAATATACATGTATGGTTTTACATGAAAATACAGTTATTAATCTTAAATATCTATTGCAAAGAAATGGTAGAGAGAAACACATTACGTTTGCACATAAATAAGGACATATTCAAATATTTTTATGTTCAAATAAAACATTTTGCTATCAAAAAATACTAGTATTTAAAAATTCAAATGTACCTTAAAGTCAGTGAAGAAGTTATGGTCTTTCTTATATGTCGGTTAAACAATATAAGATTTCTTTTCTATCAATGTTCTAAACATGTTCTTAATTCAATTCTTGTCAAACACAACATAATGATGACAAAGTTTAATTTAAAAAGTATTTTCACAAACTACGTTCCCTAGCAATTGATCAAATTTTCAAAACTTATAAATTAACATTTTTAATCAACCATACAATTATCGAAAAATAAGACGAAAGAGAAAGATGTATTATTTGCCTCATGGCTTGGTCAATAGAGCGATTTTTATAAATTTTAAATTTTTAAATTGCCAAATTTTTATTCATTCTTTGAATGATAATTTAATTGAAGAGGGTCACAATGTGATTAAAATAAATATATATTTATCCATTTTTTTTTCAAAAAATTTTTCAGTGCCCCATTATTTTTTTCAAAATAAAAGCTGTGATCCCTTATGATCGTTTGGCATGTAATAAATTGTCGACGAAATTTGGGAGCTGAGCTTTTAAAAATGTTTAATCGATGATTTTGTGCGATTGTTGTTTCCATAAAAACGTTGAAAAATGTAAAACTTCGATGTACAAAAAAACGTTTTTGTATGACTTGACTTAATAAATGGTGTCAAATACTTTGGCAATATCTAACGAGAGATTTGCTGATGTTTTTGCAGTCTGTAATAAAACCTGCTGTATAATTACCGTAAGCAACTTTCAAAAATAAACTAACAGTTGCTATAAAAGCGATCGCACTATGTACATGTACATAAAAGTTCTTTGAAGTTAGTGTTCTAAGTATTGTCAATGCTTTGGTAAATACTAATAAGAATTCGATATAATCGTTATAATAGCCACTCTTCGTACACAGCATATTGTCAATCTCTCACCACATGTATGGAATTTGTACAAATCATAGGAAGCGCTTTGCTAAATGATGAGGTAGCGCCTTGTGGAAGTTTCCGGTTTTGGTTGCAAAGGATAACGAATTACGTGCGATAAAGCGATGTCGATAGGTAGCGCCTTATGGAAGTTTCCGGTTTTTTGGAGCCCATGCCATAAAGCGGTTAGCTAGCTAATCCCATTAATCTGTGCAATTTTTTGTCACTTAACAATCCCATTAACTGCACCATAAAAATATATACTTAGGGAGAATTATATATACAAAAATATTTAACAAAAAATGTCCTAATTGATCACCATGAAACATATTACTCAAAATATTCAATATTAAGAACATATATAGGTCCCAAAAATAGAGGTATACACTCCGGAAAATAATGTGACTCTTATACCATTATGCTTCATATTTCTCAGAGAAAGATTCCAAATTAGTCATTATGACCAAGCAAGGCCAGATTATTTGTTTATCTGATAGGATCACTGAAAGTGTCAGTTTTTAGAAAGAGCATAAAACAACTTCAGAATACATTAGACTACATCCTTGAGCAAAAATAAACACCGAGACATAAAATAAAGCCCAATGTCAGACAAAGATGGACAGATTTATGTCCCTTACATCAGAAAGAAACACCAATAGCCCAGTTTATTTACTTTAACTATTTACGTACTTATGTTGCTATTTTTTCTCTCATAATTATGGACCTCGGAGCTAATATATTACGGCAATCAAGGAAACACTACCGCAATGCACTTTTATAATTAATTTCCTTTGATTAGAATAACAACTTAGGCAGGTATATTATACTTGTAATTATATCAGTTGAATTTACGAGTTTATCATATGTGGTATAAAATATGAATATTTTCAATATATAATTTCAAGTAGATATAATAAAAGGAGAAAAAATACTTATAATTTAACTGTGGCAAAATTCCAAAATTTGTTTCACAATTTTGCCCAAAAAATAAGTACATATTTTGTCACCAAGGCCATCTGTAAAAACATTGTTTTGTTGCCCTCTCCTGACCGACTGATTAAAAATGCCCAAAATTTTTTTTAACCTCTGGGAAGCAATTTTTTTAAATGTATTCTGGAAAGTACATTTTAAAAAATTTCACATTGAAATTGAAATTTTTTAACAGAAAAATATTTTTCTCACCTACCTAATTGCTTGATCATAGCCAAAACAGAACCTGACCTAGATATTTTTAATATGATAAATCTGTTTACCAAATTTCATTTGGGTATGTGCAACCTCTACAAAGAAAATGAATGGAAACTGCAAGTAATTGGAATATTTCCAAGTTCAAGGAGCATAACTCTGTCAAAAATTGCTTGATCATATCCAAAACAGAACCTGACCTAGATATTCTTATAATAAATCTTGTATACCAATTTCATTTCAGTTCGTCCAACCTCAATCTTCAAAGAAAAACTGCAAACTGCAATTAATTTTTCTAGGTCCAAGGGGCATAACTCTGTCCTCTGCGAAGAAAATGAATGGAAACTGTTATTAGACCGACAGACAAACCAACCGACTGACGGACAGGAGCAAAGCATTATGCCTTCTTTTCTTTGATGAAAGTCATAAAAATAAAGATTTTTTTCTTCAATTTTTTAATTTTATTAAAACATTGGTAAAAATGAAGCCCATTTTCCACTGGAAATGGGGCCAAATATTTGCCCTCTAAGAACAGTGCTGACAAATCTCCTGCATATGCATGCAGTTATAATTTATTTTCATGAGCATGTTTTATGGTGGATTTGACTCTTTTTTATTGAAATGAAATGTATAGGAGGTTTCAACACATATATAAATTGATCTTGAAAAGTTTTCCAAAAATTTACAACTGTACACAGGGAAATTTTCACCCATTTTATTGTCCCTTTCGCCCCAACTTTAATGGGGCAAATTTAACACGGGACAAATTCAAAGAATACAGTATTATAAATTTCTTCATAAAACAAAACTATGACTAAGCGAATTTAAAACTGGGCAAAATTGTTTGCAAGTGTTAAAGGGGTGAAAATAACACAGACGAAAATAACCCTATGTACACTTTCAAGGTAAAGGATGTATATGTTTAAGAGGGCTTATATAAGTAGCCAAAAGCTAGTATGAAAATCCCAAATAATGTCATTATTCTTATAGAAATATATATGCATCTAAAAATAGATTTGTTTTACCCCTTACAAAATAGTGACATATTAATCACTAAGCAAGTTTGTCAGATTTATACACAAAAATCTTTTTTTAGACTTAGTTTTTTATGAAGCAAAACCCTTTCTTTTAAGAGAAGCTCTTTATGAAATATGCCTACATGTCAAGTTTTTTGTGATTTATATACCAATATCTCACACAAAAAATTAAACACATTCCTTATAAAATAAATGTTTTCCAAAAACCTTGACCTTGTCAAAATGACCTTGAATCAGTTGATGAACCAGCCCAGTTAAAAAAAAAAAAAGCTACACGTACGTAGGAGGCAGATTTAAAATATGTCTCTTTGACAGCTCTGTCCTTTGGTTGACTGTGAAATGATGGTTTCTGGTAATCATGTTATATATAGATTTATAACCGTTCCAGGCCGTTGAGGGGTCAGTCAGGGGGTCAGTGATGTTTACTTAATATGGACACAAGCCTTGGGCTGATGGTATTTTCGGACACATTAACCCTGCCCATGCTTAACATAAACCGTCCAGTAATGTTATTTTTTTTTTTTATCAAATAAATATCTGTATAAAGTTATTCTCGGTCATCATGGACTTAATAGTGAGCCCAGATTGAAAATAATAGCACAGGGGCGTTTTAATCTACCATTACCATGGTTTCTTGTGATGGACAGTGTCTGATAATTATAGAAACAAGAAAATTACACGCATGACCTCATGAAATCAAATTTGGAGAAAAAGGATTACATTTTATGGAACATAGAGATGGTATCATTCTGGTAGGAAATAGTTTTAACATCTCTAAATCTAAAAAAAATAAAAATATGTCAAGACGATTCTTTGTTCAGTTGTCCAATATCTGGGATCTTGTGCCCTCTTGTTAAACTGGTCGCTTCATGTATATACATGAATGAACAGCTGCCTCGAACTTTATAATGCATGTTTCAGCATTTTTTTCTTCATGTTTTTTCTCCCATTTTATTTCTTGATTTTACAGTTTTACATTTATTGAGTATATATTGAGATTCTTTTTCAAAAAAAAAAAAAAAATCATTTTAATAAATGATTTAATTTTAAAAAAATTCTCTTCATCAACCATAATCATGAATAATACAGGACCCGTAGTTTTTTTAAAACATCTAATAAAAGACCAATTCATAAAATTTTTTATACAAATTATTTAATGTATTTACATGAAATCAACATATTTGTTATTTTTTACCATCAAAAATTAAAAACCCATGCAGTTTTGAGTTCACAAGTTCTTTCAAAAGATAATAGATAGAAATGATATGAAAAATTCTTCAGGCTGCCACATATTTTTTCTTTTTATAAATTCGTGTGACAATTAATAATACCGTAACAAATTTATTCGAATCTCTTTTATCTCATCTCAGTTAAAAGCATATAATGTTTTTTATCCACTTTAAATTTAAGCCTTATTTTAGTTTTAAAAATGTTCTGAATGCTTGTTAAAAGATATGACAGTAAGTTCTGATTTACTTTATTATTGATTTTCCTTTTCAAATCTCTTACTATGTTAATTGACCCCTACTTTTGCAAAACAAAAGGACATTAAATTTTGCTTGTCAGTCCATCTGTCTGTTAGTCACAAAATCAGTTTTCCTAGTGTATTTAGGTCCCAATGTGTATTCCACATGCTATATCTATGATGCCTATTAATTAGACAAGCATCTCAAAATTCAGAGCTATATGTACTAAAGATTTAATGTTTTTCAGAAAGGATGGTCATGTGATCTGCTACACAGTAACACTTTATTTTTTTTTTAAGGACAGACGAGATCTTCCTTAATAATTAATATATAAAATTTTCAAAGAGTTTGTCATTGAAGTATTGCTATTTAAACATGTTTACTCACAAAAAATTGAGGTACCTTACCAGGCATTTCTGTAAGATACCAGGGGTAGTTTTTCTTATATAATCCTTTTGGGAAGAAAAATTAAAGATGTTTAGAAACTGGTTTAGAGATCAAAATGTAATTAAAATTTTGAATATTTTTCATAGATTACGAAGATATTCAAAATAGATATTGAGGAAGTCGTCTCGCCTGACCTTAAAATGGCATAGGAAAAACAGTGAACATTCTAAATAACACATAAGTTTTACCTCAAAATGCCCAAAAACATACATAACATCAGCATAATTAACTATTTTGAGATGTAGGTCAAAGGTCAAGGTTAAAGGTCTTGAGGTTGGTAACCATTAAATCTTACAAAAGCCATAGTTCTCTATATAGAAAGTAAGACAGAAAGAGGGCTAAACAGTCAGATAGATACTGGTTAAATGATTTCAAGGTGTTGCTTAAAAATGCTTGGCAGGTGGCATAAAAATTGAGGATTGTTCTTAGTTTGCTGCGAGAGGTATATGACTTATGAAAATTAATTTAGGTATTGTCCAAATTCTTCCAATCATTGCATTTGTTTGTCAAATGTGCAGGTTGATATTCTCTTAGGGAAAATATGACTTTTACAAATTTTGATGTATCATATGCTTAATTTTTTTCCTTATCAATTAAATTTTTACATTTTTTCTTATCAATTTAATTTTACATTTTTTCAGCATTTGACAAAAACAGCCGAGATTGACTGAATACCATGGACCCCCCTCTTCTGTTTCCATTTGATCTGGATAAGCTACCAACGACTCTCAACACATCAGCCGTAATCCCTTACAACATCAACACCACCGGCCTGTATGCCAACTTTGTCAACATCATCAACTCCACCACCTGGGCCAACCTTCAGCCTCAAAACATTCATGAACGAGCAGACGACATCTTCACCAAACCAGAAAACATCATCACTCTGATCTTGTGTTTCTTGGCCCTGGCTGTGAACGCTATCTCCATTGCAGCCACTGCCCACATACCCCATGGACTGACGAATCATTCCAAACTTATCATTAGTTTAGCTGTATCCGATATCCTAGTCACGCTGAGCGTCTTTATGCATATTCTTATTAAGGTGGTTGTGGCACCTATTATTCCACCTACCCTAGATAACTTATCGGAAAGACTGACTTCCGCATGCATGTTCCAATTTGTGAACTCCATTAACATAACGGCACATCTGATTTCTCTGTTTAATCTCTTTGCGATGGCATTGGATCACTACATTTCTGTCCTGCAACCTCTCCACTACTACCACATCATGAATAATTTCCGCGGGAATATCATGATCACCGTTTTGTGGGTCACAGCATTCATTGGTGGCTTCTCAAATTTTCTGGCTGGATTTGGAAAGACGGATAAAGACGATTTTGTGAATTTTTGTGAGTATACGCTATATTCCGAATACCAGGCCGAATATATAGTAATTATTATGGCCCTGATCTGTCTCATTTCCATCTTATTTATCTACATAAGGATATATCGAGAAGTGAAGCAAATTAATGCAAAATGTGTCATGCTTCTCAAGGATGGACTCCACAACAAAAAAGCCCTGCGTACAACTCTTCTTATCATTGGAACATTCGTAGTGTGTTGGCTGCCCAGCATGACATTTCAAATAGCCATGATAATTCAAGTCCACATAAATACCGAAACAGTTAAAGAACTCTTCACGACTCTGATTCGTGCCAATAAGTACCTCTACGCACTCTTACTTGTGAACTCTCTCACTGATCCAATCATTTACGCTGTGCGACTCAAGGATGTGCAGAACGGGTACTTCCGACTTCTGTCCCGATGTTCGAAGTTCTACCAGGAAAAAGTGAAAGAGGAAATTTACAACCAATCCAGAATCGCCTTCCATTCCAAAAGGAGGTCGACGGAGAATACCATAAAATTTCTCCTAACAGACTGCAACTCCAACCAATCTACAACCGGCATACACAGAAACGTGTCTGCTCCACTTCTGGGTGATAACAGTGTTGTCAGTGAAATGTACTCTTTAACAAGAGACGTACACATGAACGTGCTTTTCCAAAACGAATCTGCGGAAACGGAGCACTGTGAACTCCTTCCTCTATCTCGTAAAAATGAGGATGAAAACACAGTGGAACTACATGAAGACTTGCTTTGTGATAATAAATTAGTGAAAGTATCAAACAATGGTATTCAGCAACCTGCTGGTAACTCATTAGTAAATTCTATAAGAAAAGACACAAGTGATACGTCACAATCTGATACCCCTAATCTTATAGTTGACAATCACAATGGACCTGAAACTAAACTGTCCCACACTGTTTCTGTCCACATGCCAGTCAGGCAAAATTCTGTCCCCTCAGGTGAAGAACTTCTGTGCAATTCTAATGGAAGTAGAAACTCAGTTTAGCATCTAGTTCCTTGGAATAAAATTTATTTCTAAATTGTGATTACTATATGTGTCTGCTGTGCAATTCTAAAGAAAAGAAGTTATTGTATACTTATGAATTTTCATGGGGGTCCAAATTTCACTGTGTTCTCAAGGTATTGAAACACCAATGATTTGTGTCCCCAACAAAATGTTAGAATTTCATTATATAACCATGACATTTTAACCCCGTAAAAAATACATAAAACTTTGGGTCTATCCGTACCATGAAAGAAATTTGGACCCCCATGACAACTCACTTAAGTTCAAGTGAAACTCTGACACTGTTCAGTGCAATTTTGTTTTTAATTGAACCTTAGGGATAATCATTACACATTTATATTTAAGTTTAATATCAATATGTGCTTACACAAATGTGCTATCTGATTAAGACTGTTTTATGTATGAAATTCCAAGGAAAGTAAAAATTCTCTTTTTTCTTAGCTTTAAACCTAAATGTTGGTACAGATTAAAATCTCTGATTCCACATCTGCTTTAGAAATTATTGTTTAATTTGGGCTGAGGTGCTTAACAGTTGATTTCCCTAATAAAGTCCTTAGCACTCAAAAGTAATGAAAATTATGCAAGTTTAAAGTTTAAATGAAACTAGAAAACTGACCAGTCAGCAAGGGCCCCGCCAAGGGGTAGAATTAAAAGGGTGCAGCTTACGGAATGATTAAAAAATGTACGAAGAATAAGCAACAGCAACTGTATTCTTAAAATTTCAAGATAATTCCTGAATATTCAAAAACTTGAAATAATATCCTTGTATTTACTTTAGGCAGTAAAGAACAATTTAACATTGAATGTATTAAACAATTATGAAGCTTGTGTTATATAGAATGCCAGCCTTCAATGAATGCAAATATCATGAAGGCTTGACCTTAACTTCAAACAAACAGCAGTTGCAGACAAAGGTTTACATTAATCTTAAAGATAAAGAAAAGCCTACTAAATTTTCTGCAGCAGGCTAGATAATTGATCCCAAAGGATTAATTGTACCTCTCTCATCATTTTCTTCTAAAGTTACAACAAGAACTTTTTTCAGTATTAATGATAGAATGGGGTTTTTATAAAACTACCTTAAAAATTAATTAACATAAACTAAAAAAAGTAATTCAAAAAATCTTCTTTAATCTATTTCTTGTTTTTAGAATTCAATGAAATCATAACTATTAAACAAAAATAAATTATAAAAAATTATATCTAAATCCACATTTCACAGTGTTCATAGCATTCCAAATTGACTTAACTTCAAAACAAACTTCATTTGCAGACAGAAGTGGTAATTCATCTCAATGTGACAGATAAAGATAATGCTCTGGATTTTCTTCAGGAGGAAACCTAATTAATCCCAAGGGACTCATAGCCAGCATTCATTTTACAATGGGAACATCTTCAGCAGTTATCTCTCTTTGCCAATGCATTCAAGTTAAGGAATCTACCCCACCACCCCAGCTCCAAACCAGGGGACATAGAGAACCAAACTTAGCATCAAAATATGTATTTCTGCCTACTGAACTACCATACCAAATTTGAATTTGATTGGGCAACCATAAAAAAAGTTGCCAATTCATTCTTATGCATAGTGAAGGAATCTACCCCATCACCCCAGCTCCAAACCAGAAGACATTGAGAACCAAACTTAGCATCAAAATATGTATTTCTGCCTACTGAACTACCATACCAAATTTGAACTTGATTGGGCAACCATAAAAAAAGTTATTAGAAAAAAACAGAAAATTTGTGGACGGAAGACAGACAGACGGACAGACAGAGTGATTACTATAGGGCACCCGCAAATCCTTGCGGGGCCCTAATTACAGAAAGACAGATGAATGAGATTTCATGCCCCCCTCACTTTCAACGAAGTGGGACACAATTAAAGTGCTATTTTTTGTGATGCTTTTCAATGATATTTTGTTTATTGCTCAGTAATGAACCGTAATTGCTAAAATTCATTTCAATGCTAATTGCAACTGCAATGCAAACCTAAAATTGAAGTAAAGAATTTTTTTGTGGCAATGTAACAATACGATGTTCCTCTCAAGTATATTGAAAAAATTTCATTTTTTGATTTAAAATTTGATCAATTCTGAACACTTTGTCCAATTAAATGCCTCTTTTTCTGATTTCATTTTGAAAAATGCCATGTATTTTTTTGTTTCAGAGAATGATTCTTCATGTGCTTTAAAGCATGATTGGTAGAATACCTTCATTTTGTCAATTGTTATCCAAGTTTCAAACTGTTAATTCAATTTTTGTGTCTTTTTCTTGATATTGAAAATGCTCAGAATATTATTGCAGCGATTAATTTAAATAAACTTCAAAAACAGAAAAAAGATATTGTACTCATTTTTTTTAAGAAATACATCTGTGTATATCTTGACATCCAACACTCAAGGACTGAGTAATCTTGGCCCTGTTGTTTTGAAGGATTTTTCAGAAGAGATGTCCTCTTCATTCTCAAAATTAGAAATATACCCATGCATAAAAGGATATCAGAAAATGAAGTTTGATTTATAAAGTATTGATTTGTTTCTCACACCTGAGCTAAACACAAATTTGACAAAAGTGAAGTCAAGGTCAAAAGAAAGGTCTGGGTGAAAAAAAATGTTGATGTAGCATATAGTTTTCATCATTTAAAAGCAAATATTACATGAATAGTTCCTTTGAAACTGCGATAAATGAAATATTTTGGATAAGGGAGAATGCCAAAAATGAGGTCAAGGTAAACTTTTTTGATGCAGTTGCATAGCTCTCAGCAATACACATCAGCATATGAAGTTTGATAAAAAATACCTTGTACACAAATAGTTCCTTGGAAAATGAGCTGAAAGCAAAGTATCATGTATAACAAAATGATGCAAGGACAGAGGGTAAAGGTCAAGGTTATGGGCCTTTACTTTAATGCGAGACTTGGTAACAAGACTGAGTTGGAGCATTCAAATTTCATATCTACCGATGGTATTTCAACTTTTCTGTGCAAATACAATAGAAAGAAGTGAAGGAGCATTTGTCTTCTGGCAGACACACTTTTTTCTCAATAAAAGCATATTTTTCAGGTTCTGAAACCTGTTACTCTCTGAAACAATGGAATAATTTTGCATTGATAGTGCAAAAATTTTATTTTCATTAATTTTCCTGTTTTTGCATTATGATATCACTTTAACTGAAATGGAAATCACATGACAACATTTGTATACTTCAATATCAATATAGCCAAAATAGTTTTACTGTTCTTGAGGTTTTTTTAAAGATATTTTTTCTGTTTATATACAGTAACAGTATGAAAAATCAAAACACCCTTCCCTTCCCCTTTCCATTCTAATCCAACATTACAAAAATCAATTTCAAGACTTTTCTTCATATGGTAAGTTATTCCAGTATTAAGTTTTAAAACTCGCATGTCCACTCTGCTTCGAGACCGAGTCAGTGTTAAATACCTTACATGCAAACTGTCAACACTGCGCCCTCGACTTCTTGACCCATCTCGTGAAAGTTTCCACCAATTCATAAAAAACCATAGCCTTTTTGTGCTATGTAAAAACCTGGGCCTTTTTGCACTATAAAAACCTGACTATCCTTAGGGGCCTGCCTTCTAGAATATATCATTCTTGTTTTGCTTTGTAATAGTCTGCCTGATGGTCATTTCTCAGGGAATTCTTTTCCTTTGAGTATAATAATGCATGTGACTGTTAAACCTTATCATGCTTTAAGTTTTTGTAAGTGCAATATTTAGTTTAAAAAAAAAATTATTGTAGCAGTTTTTGCCCTATAAATTAGTCAGCTCTTTAGTAACAAAAATAAAGCAACACCAATCTTATGTTAAAAACCCCCTACAAATACTGTACACCGTGAGGGCACTCATGTCTAAATATAAAAGGTTAACATTTATTATCAATATACTTCAGGAATGTTTTTAAGTATTGTGTGAGTTAATGGTGTGTAAATCACTAAGAATACACTTGTCATGAATGCATATTTCGTGAAGATACAGATTCGTTACAGATATAGCAAATTTAAGAAATAAATTCCTTTAAATAAATGATGTTTTATAACTTTAGCTTGGTCAGGTAATGTGTTTTGGGGCATAATTTGTAGGTAAGCAAATAGAAAAATCATATTTTATACTGTCATTTCCAGTGAAAAATTAAGAAAACAGTCTTGGGTATGGGAGTTTTTTTTCCATATCAGACAAAAAAAAAATGGATCCAGATTACCTACTCTCTTGCAGAAAATGGTAATTTGTATGTTCTTGGCCTCCTCTTTAAACTAATGTCAACTCTAATAAAGGTATCGGGTCTACTTTTCATGTAATTTCAAATTGAATTCCATGAAAATACTATTTTCTACATAATTCTATTTGAGCCGTAGAGATAACAGGAAAAAAAAGTTGAAAGTGATTATAACATCAAAATGGATCTAGCACCAAAAAGTTAGTCTAAAGAAATTTACTTAATTTTGATCTTAACGTGAGGTTCTTCCTGTATATTTCTATGTGTGAGTATATATGAAAATGGTATTCAAATAATTTACACAGTTGGCTTAGAAGAAAAAAGAAAATGTAAATATTACAGTAGATACTCAAATATAATTATTGTAATATTTCATTTATAATTGTCATAATATTCAAGGCAGAATATCGAATCAAATGATATTTCAGCACTGCAGTTACTGACTCTATGAAACAGGGGTCAGAATTTTAAATTCCTGACAATATCCATTAAGTCCATATCCCGCTTTAAGGCAGCTGGTTTTATTTTGAGCATAAATTTTATCAGATGATTGATTCGTAGAATGGTAAAATTAAGATATGGAAACCAAAGTCAATCCTTTTCATCCAAAATTCTTGGGCACAACTGCGCACAACTCCGGACTAGATGGTGATATTTCTGTTGCTTTAACATTGCAGACACATGGAAATCCTGGCATACCCTGGCAACATGCATTCTTTTAACATGGAATGTGGTACTTATGGCCTGCATATTTTGAGGTAAAACCCTACAAGACCATTGCATACTGTTCTATCTCCAATTCTGGCACTGTCACTTCCATGAGCTGTTTCATTAGAAGTTGGAAACTTGTTCTCTTTCTCATGAGGTCCTGTTGCCTCAAGATAATTCCTGTTGCCTCTCAAAGAGGTCCTGTTGCCTCCCACTGTTGCCTCCCCAAGAAGACCTGTTGCCTTCCACAGAAGTATCTTTGCCTCCCAAAGAAGTCCTGTTGCCTCCCAAAGAAGCCCCATTGACTCCGAAAGAAGTCCCATTGCCTCCCAAAGAAGTCCCATTGCCTCCCAAAGAAGTCCTGTTGCCTCCCCAAAAAAGCCCCATTGCCACCCTAAGAAGTCCTTTTGCCTCCCAAAGAAGTCCTGTTGCCTCCCAAAGAAGTCTGCTGCCTCCCAAAGAAGTCCCATTACCTCCCAAAGAAGCCCCATTGACTCCCAAAAAAGCTCCATTGCCTCCCAAAGAAGTCCATTGCCTCCCAAAAAAAGCCCCATTGCCTCCCAAAGAAGTCCTGTTGCCTCGCAAAGAAGTCCCATCGCCTCCCAAAGAAGTCCTGTTGCCTCTCCAAAAAAGCCCCATTGCCTCCCTAAGAAGTCCTGTTG